CATGAAAAAATAAAAAATAAATTGTTATAAATTAAAAAATAATTTGAAAAAAATTAGTAATTTGATAAATAATTTGGTATAAATTGATAAAACAATTTGTCGAGTTCTATTAGGTATTTTAAAAAAATAAAAAAGTAAGGTTAAATATGAGAAGAAAAATTAGTAAAAAATTTTGACTTGTTTGTCTGCACTACTGTTTTTACTTGAACTTTTGCAGCTGTTATCCGTTTAATTACAAGTACCATTTAAAAACGTGAAAATTTATTAACAGCTTTAATTGATAACTGTTTCAGAATTAAGTTTCAGAAATCGCAATGACCTTGTTTGGTTTATTTCTGCAAATTAAAAAAGATCATTTAAAAAGTCAAAAGTAAAATTGTGAATTTAACATGTTAAATGGAACGCAGAGTGAGAACGAATCAGGTACTCAATGAAACTATGGATATTACAGAATCAAATTAATGCATTATGACTTACTTTCAGCCAACTGCAAATAACTAATAACAATTACTAAATGCAATAACTTTATGAGAGTAAAAAAGTAAGGCATTTAAGTTTCGTTATAGGCCTTAGGCAGAAAAACCAAATATTTATTCTTATTCATTTCAGAAAAAAACGAAGAAAGCATATTTTCTTTATAAGTTATCAATGTAATTAATATCTGATGAAAAGTTTGAGCTAAGTAAACACGCAGTTTTATATAATATTAAGCATTCATAAGTAAGCAATAAAAACACAAATTTTTGTTCAAATAAACTAAAACAAATATGGCGAAGAGAAGAAGGAAAGAAATAATAAAAATTAATGCAATATTGGAAGTAAAATGGAAGGGATTTGGATCTGCTGGAGGAAAATTAACTTCTGCTGCAAGAAATCCGCTTCTTCCTTTCATAGAATTAAATCTCGGCTTTATGAGATTCTTTTCGCCCAAAAGCTTAAAATAAAGTAAATAAACTTGAAAAATCTTCTTCTTTGCACTGCTAAAGTAATTTTATTCCTTTAATTTTAGACCACTACCCTCTACAATTTCCCTTACCTCATTTTTTTCTCCTTAAACAAGCAAATTGTAAACTGTTTCTGCTTCATCTCATTTTCAAAAGAACACATTCAATATACTTTGTTTCAAATATTATACAAACAGCGGAATCTGTAAAAAATGAAATTTGCTATGCAAAAGTTATTGCTGAGCTCGAGATCAGAGTTTAGGTATCAGCATACCGTCTTTCCTAACATCTTAATAAGATTTAGGAGCTTCATAAAGAATTTTATGGAAAAAAACCATTTCTTTCTTCATAAAGGATCATTTTCTTCAACTTAGGTGGGAACTTGGCTTGTCGAGAATTTTTACAAGTTGGCATGGCAAAAGTTAATATGATGGGAGAAAAGAAATATGTCCAACAGATTATTTTAATATTACGGTAACCGATATAGTATTTGCCCATATACAAAAAAAATTATAAAAGCAGTATAATAAAGTGAATTGTTTTTAGTAAAAAAAGTAAGAATTAAAGTGACAGAATAAGCAATCGATGACTAAGGAGGTCAGGGGACGAGGTCAGTTATTTTGATATTAAAATTATCTAATTGAAGAAAGAGCGAGTTTAAATGCCAAATATCCTCTCCAGGATAACTTTTGATACTTTTTTGATGTGCGGTTAAAACTACCATGATCAACGTATCATATATGCGAACGTAATCTGATACACTTTCATATTTCAAACTTTTCCGAAAGTATATCCAAGAGTTTTTTTATAATTTAAATTAATTCCAAATTTCTCACAAAGTTTTTTGTTAAAAAAAGATGGTTGTTTTTTATATCTTAACCAATAATAGCAATGAAAATCCAAACAGAAATATCAACAAAAAAAATGAGTACGTGATAAGTAGAGCTCCAGAGTACCGAAATGAAGACTGTCATTTGACGCAAGTAAGAACTTTACATGACCAATCCACGTTAATAGATCAAATTTTTTGCTTTTAAATAATTGAACAATTAGTTAATCATAATTAATTAATTATTAACAAACCATAAAAAATTTGTAGGAGAGTTAAATAGCAAAAAAAATGTACTACGCTGAACTGACTGAGTAATTGAATTTTTGTAATGAAAAATATAAAAGTTAGACTTCTCGTGTATGAAATTGGCGAAAACTTTTCTGTGTAGACTCAAAATTATCATTTTGAAAATAATTAGCTTAGTTTCAAAAGGATAACTTTTTTGATTAATTCTAAATTGATAATCTAAATAGTAGTACTCATGGATGTATTTTTAGATATCGATATCTCAAATTTTGACATTTGATAAAAAAAGTAATTAGGATTTCGAGCGAAAAACTTTCCATGAATAAATACTTATTTTCTTCTTTTTTATGTGAAGTTAGATTATAGTCTTAAGTTATTTCTTGCTTATAGAATCGACTTTTAGGCAAAAAATGACGTAAATTACTTCTAATGTCACTTTTTGAAAAACATAAAAATAGGATGCAGATGCGAAATAAGCTCAAACTTCAATTTTTATGATTTATGAGAATGTGTGAGCAGGGAAGGAGTTCACAGAAGAAATTAACTATGCTTTATTTCAATGCTCTGCATTTTGCCATGCAAAAATTTATAAATTTTATGATAAGTATGTTTGCAGAAAAGGGACCATAAGTAGCAATACAACTCTGTGGTTAGAGCAAAGAA